CACTAGATCACGGAATTCATTGTATCTTGGAACTAAGAGGTGGTGGATATAGTGAATTGTCCCTAGAAATAGGAAAAAATTGAGTAGGAGGATTAAATCACCTCCGAACCACTATAAATTTTTGTGCTCTTTTACTGCTTTATTTATTTACTCTTACTTACTTGTTTCTCACGTGATATCTACTTGACACAATCACAACATGCTATTTAATTTTTCATTGTGTATAGGACTCTAACAATTAGTTAAGAGTTTTTGTTTCTTTATTGCCTAAGCTAATCTTGCAATATAATTGGCGAAATTGATATAAAATCCTATTCAGCCCCTCTAGACTTCTACCTTACCTCTTTGGGACCAACAATTGCCTTAGCTAGACTCTTTGCAAAGGACTACTCTCAAGAAGAAGGAAAAGATTTTGATATAACTTTTGCACCCGTGGCAAGAGTTGAAGCGATAAGAATTTTCCTAGCCTACGTTGGACACACAGACTTCACTGTTTACCAAATAGACGTCAAGAGCGCATTCTTGAATGAATTTCTTGAAGAAAAATTCTATGTTGAACAACCCCCAAGTTTCGAGGTAAAAGGCGAATGTTATAAAGTCTACAAACTTAAAAAAACATTGTATGGATTGAAACAAGCACATAGAGCTTGGTATGATACCTTGTCAATATTCTTGATAACCCGTGGATTCACCGAAGGCCTAGTTGATAAAACCTTTTTTCAAATTCAAAATGGTGAACATATTTTATTAGTGCATATTTATGTTGATGAAATTATATTTGGCAGAACAGGTTTGAGATGAGTATGATGGGTGAATTAAATTACTTCTTGGGCTTGCAAGTCAAACAAATGAACGAAGAAATTTTCTTTGGCCTTGATGGAAAATCGTCAATCAAAATTCCAATGAGCACATCATTAAGGCTATACAAGGATGAAGATGGAAATAATGTCAATTAAACAAAATATAGAGGAATGATTGGTTCACTTCTATATCTAACTGCAAGCTGACAAAACATATCTTATGATGTGGGAATGTGTGCAAAATTTCAAGCAAATCTAAAAAAAAAGCCACCGCATCGCCATTAAGACGATTATAAGATACCTGAAGGGCACAATCAATATAGGACTATGGTATTTTAAGGTACTGATTTTACTCTAACGGATTTTTCAAATGCAAATTTTACAGTTTACAAAATAGATAGAAAAAGCACTTCCGAGACATGCCAATTCTAGAGAGGTTAGAGAATATAACCTCATGCAAATAATTGCGACATATTACACATTCGTTCAAAATAATGGACAAAATGGTAAGTATGCAAAAATCATCAAGAGATAAAGCCAGACAAGATTATGATCCAACATGTTCTAAAATCCCCGAGAAACTGACCAATTCTACTACTACTTTAATTAATAATGCTTAAGTAGTAAAATTTGTTAAGAGTCAAGAAAGCAGTGTGAGACAAGGATTTGGAAATAAAATTAATACTGAAAAATCACTTGCAAGGCCGAAATATCACAATATTATCATAGCTAAAAAGCAAGATTTTAAAAAGTAAAAATTTGTTTCTCAAAGGAGAACCAATGAGTCTAGTGCAAAAAGACCTCATTAGGACTATAAGGAGAATTTCAAGAATTGGGGCTGGGAGATTATACCCCACTAATGATAATTGGCTATTTGAAACCAAACTATGGACCAAGTCCAAATTTGCTACTTTTATATAATTAAGCAACTATCAACTTCCCAGGTGCAAATAATTTTAAAAAACCTGCATCAAAATATTTTTCACAATTTCATTATGATTATAAATTCTCAAATGGTTACAAATCACCTAATCTTAAATTAGTGGGATCTAGGTGAATTTGATTGCCTACAATCCCTAATAAAAAAGGACCCAAGCAAATTTAGGTACCTAAAAACAATTAACATTATTACAGGAAATTTGGTACTTTGATAGTGGATGTTCTCGACATATGACCGACAATAAAGCTAGTCTAATAGAGTTCAAAAATATCAAAGGACCAAAAGTTATTTTCGGTGAAAACGAGCGATGCGGTGAAACAAAACGAACCGGAACACTCATCAAGAAGGGACTAAAATTTGAAGATGTATCCTACATAGAAGAATTAAACTTAGCTTCAATCTGTTGAACACAAGTCAACTTTGTGACAAAAGATATCAAGTAGAATTTTTCAAAGACAAACGTCAAACTAAGGAGAATCTATCTCACAACCGCATGAAGAACAGACAAACGTCGAACTAAGGAGAATCTATCTCACAACCACATGAAGAACAACCTCCACCTATTGATTATGTTGAACTAGCCAAGAAGCTACGGGCCGAAAGAATTTTTGACAGAAAAGAGTTCAAAGAGCACTGCACAAACAAGAGTCTCGCTAAGGAAATCATACAATCCTTACAAGATTGTGGTCTTTTAAGGTTCTTTCATTGGGTATTTTGATGAAGATGTATCTGAATTTTATGCCAATGCCAATATTGATGGCCAGACCATTGTGTCCGAAGTTGGAGATTACCTCATTACTGTAGATGGTGAGACTTAAGCTGCATATTCGAGTTGCCCTTGTCATATTTGGACTTAGACAGATACGAGTACAGTTGCTCGGAGTTCTGGACCATAACTCGTTGTGAAACTGAACCCGAAATCTCTCAACTTTCTGGTAAAAAGTTCAATCTTAAATTGGAATATGAGATGCTCATTAATGTGCTATACAAGTGTATTCTATGAAAATTGAATAGCATGGAAGATTTCTCTCCGAAAAGAGTATGATATATGCATGCTATATTGTATAAAATCTGAGGTATTGGAGCAAACTGGTCTTTGATAGACTATGTCATTCTGTGAAGTCCGGGAAGTTAGAGAATGGAAGGTTTTCTCACATTAAACTAGTTGGGAAAATGTTGAGGGTGAAAGGTGTTGTTTTAAGAAAAAGTAAGGCAATAGGTAATAACCGTATACTGTACAAACTTGATCAAACGGAAAATATACCCAGAATTTCTAGTCAAACCCAGTCTATAGAGATAAGATCGAGTAGTTCAAATACATCTAAGAGGCATGGGAGGTCTCGGGTAATTCACGAAAGAGAAAATGAACCCCTTGCTAGGAGAAGACGGGTAGAAGATGAAGTGATAAGCCAACCCATGCAACTTCATGTTATTCCCCTACCTACCCAGCAACTCACTAATGTATCATATCATCCTTTGCCCAATAGAAGGTGATGCCTTTGGAGGATTGGGAAGTCAAAATCAAGGTATAAACATAGGTGGAACGAGTGTGCATTTGGAGAGAAGCTCTCAAGTAGACGAGGAAGAGGAGTGTGCATTTGGAGAGAAGCTCTCAAGTAGACGAGGAAGAGGAAGTGTCGAGTATGGAGATTTGTCACTTTGATGATTTGGATGGTACAATTGTTGAGGAGTACCAGAGGAAGAGGAGTGTGCATTTGGAGAGAAGCTCTCAAGTAGACGAGGAAGAGGAAGTGTCGAGTATGGAGATTTGTCACTTTGATGATTTGGATGGTACAATTGTTGAGGAGTACCAAAGAGTGTTAAGATGGGGAAATTGGAGACTCGACTCTTATCATGCTATGGTATCTCGGGTAGGACCCGAAATGGAACATGAGGAAGCCTTTGCTTTGGAATGGATTGAAAGTTATGTTTTTGCTCAAGCTACACGATTGTCATATATAAATGTCACTTTTCTAGCCAAGTTGAAACAGAAATTGACCGGGAAGGGCAAGGAGCTAGTTCCCGCCGCACAAAGAGATGTCCAACCTTTGAATAATGAGTATTTGGAAGAAGAGGACGAGGCCAACTTAGCCCGTGTACTTGAAATGTCAAGATTTGATACTCATATGGCTCTCGGGGATACATCAAGACATTCGGTGCACTTTGAAAATCAATTTGACTCACACTTAGTTGAAGATTGTTATGGTTTAGTTACCAATTTTGGTAGCTTAAACGTTCTTGATATATTTGAAGTCAATGTGCATCAATTCGACCAAGTTGATGTTGGGATGACCTATGTTGACTGTAATCAGTTTTGAGGAAATGAGAATGGATGGCCAAAATGAAATTCAAAATGTAGAAGCTCATGCTCAAGAATGAGTAAGGGAAGGGCATTGTGAGCAATTGGGAGAAGGCGTTTAGTGCACCTAGCAGTGGTGGTTTAATCGTTCCTCAAGGTAGTGGCAGTTTATCAGGTTGCAAATTCTATGGTGACATTGTCCGTGCATCAGGTGACCAAGAGGCTATGGAATGGTTTAAAAAGATGGGTTTTTACCTAAAAACCTCAAGAAATAGCAAGATTCAACCACCAAAGCTTGTTACATTAGAGAATTTACCCAAAAGGATTGAAGAAAGCCAAGAAATGTGATCAGAATCAATGGGTAACCGATTAGAATTTGAAGATCATGAAGGCACAACTTCAAGGATATATTGAGAATCATGGAACAGACTTGGATGATGGAAGAACTCTAGAAGAATGCATCATTTGGTTCGAAGATGGCGTACTACCCGGCGTGAATATCATAGAAGCATACAATTTCTATTTGGTTGGGCAGGTACGTGAAAGAGTTCAATGATACTAGGTTTGAAAATAACTTTGTTGCTCTTAGAAATCACATTAACCATGTTTTGGAAGAAAAGAGGAATAGAAGGATGAAATTCCACCATCATCAACCCTGCCATCCACCCACAATCACACCGCCGGAGAAAAATCAGTCGTAGGAAAAGGAGTCTAAGATCGTTGGTCACTGCCATCTAGGAAAAGTTTAAAACTGAAGAGCTTATTTTAAACGCTATTTTGGATAACGTTTCAAGATAAAATATTATTTTAAGTTCAGATTTTACCAAACAAAGCTTATAATTTAAAACAAGTTATAACCGAGCTGTACTCAAAAAAAAAGAAGTTAGAAGCTACCAAAGAGCCCATGATATATCCACAATTGTACTTAGAATTTCATAGATGAGACGTGCATTATTATTACCTTGTAATGTTGCCAAGCCCACGACTGCCCACAACAACAAGATCAATGCGCATTTCCTCAGCAGCTTGACAAATTTTGTCCTTGGGATCCCCTTCCAAAACCAAAGTTTCTGCTTTAACCTAAAAACAAAAAAACAAACATCTTATGACTAATTGACTATATACCTAATCGTTCTTTATTATAACATTTGAAACTTTGGCCTCTTTGAAAAGGGGAAGAAATTAATGCAGGTAGCATAAATACCATCTTTTGCATGCACATTTGCAACGCTTTAGAAAGGACTTCTTTGGCCATCTGCTGTTGTGTTCTTCTTCTTCTTCCTCATGGGAATGATGGGATTGGCCATTTTTGAAGACATTGTCTAGAGCCCAGTTGAGAGTGTAGAAGCTCTCCTCGCTATCGTCGATGGCTACCATCACCCGCCTGTTTTGCTCCGGAACTCTGCTCTCTTCCATCTCTGTATTCACGTGTAGATCGATGCAAATTAAAGTGAAAACATTATTAAGAATTAGGAAGTGATCGATGGAGTCAGATCAATATCTCATCACCGAAAATATTTTCCAATACAAATTTGCCAAATGGGGGCACCAATTGAAATCTCATATCTCATTCTTTTCCCCAGGCGAGCGAGCTGGCAGATGATTAGCGTCAAGAAGGACAAGTGGCGGCCATGCATGCACAAACTTCACCAAATCATACTCTCATTAATTATTAAAGCTTATTTTGACGTTTTCATGCCTAAACTTTCTGTTTTTTATATGTTAGCTAACATATAGTGCACTGCTTCGCATTTTCCACCTAAATTTGCTTCCTTTTTTTGAAACAAACAAGAACTTCATTACTGATTGAAAAAACGCGCGATACAAGCTGGTGGGACACTCGTCCACACCCTGAGGCAGCTAAGGAATCGGTTGCCCGAGCAACCTCATGAGCCACAGAATTCGCTGATCTCCTAACATGGGAAACACTAACATTCCCTATGTCTCTTGCAATCGACAAACATTGCTTAACGACTAAACCAACATACGATAAATCAAAAGAACAGGAATTAAAAGCATTACAAAAATTCAAACAATCGGATTCAACAATTATACTACTATATTGCTGCTCTTTAAGCCAAGTCAAAGCTTCCTTAATGCCAAGAGCTTCAGCCATGTAGGAATCCACCACACCCTCAATACGATCGCTTTTTGCCGCCATAAAAGCGCCGGAGTGATCACGCACCACAACGCCAACACTAGCCCCCTCGTTAGAAAATGCCGCATCAACGTTGCATTTCACTGTGTGTCGCGGAGGTGGGTACCATGTAGCAGCCTGGCGTGTCGGACGTTCTGGGACAGCATAGGCCTCTTCCCAGCTTCTCTGCAATCGTGTCTTCTGCTCCTGGGCACGCATCGTATCCGGAACTTCTCTGCAGTTGTTGTGCCAGATGACATCGTTCCGCCACGTCCAGACAGCCCAAAAGACAGCCGCTAGCGTTACCGCCTCCTCCATATTTGTATTGCCAATCTTAAAGTTCAGGAAGTTTGTAAGCTCACGCCCTTGCAATACGTTCGTACATCCCCAAATTGCTTCCGCAAACGCACAGCCGCAAAATAGATGTTCCACCGTTTCCGATTCATGTCCACACATCGGACATCCCCCACCAATCCATACCCTCTTGGAGCGCAAATTATCACGGACACGCAACACATTACGGGCACACCGCCATAGCAAATTTTTTACCTTTGGCGGAATCGGCATAGGCCACAATGCTTTCCATACCACAAACCCGTTATCCACAGCGTGCCGAGATCCCCCATTAATAATCGGTAGCCATGCTTTACCGTGTAACATCCACGGATATCTCCCACCCATCTCCAAGTGTCACGGAACTGAACATTCACTGGTGTTGCCAATATCCTACCTTCGTCTTCCTCGTTAAAAATATCACGAATTAACTCAACATCCCACTTGCCAGTTTCATTAAGCAGATTGTGAACATTAGCCTCACGCAACTCCTCCATGCAAGGCGTGCTTATAGTCCCATTGACGACGGGCCAGCTAGCCAGTTCCAGCCCCAGACTCTCGTATCCCGACCATCTCCCACTCGCCGGGCCACTCCCATCTGTAAAACACGCTGCCCCGCCATGATACTACGCCATATGAAACTAGGATTGCCACCCAGTTGCGCGTCCATAAACTCTGTCTCCGGATAGTATCGTGCCTTGAGAAGACGGCTGACCAGTGAATCGGGATAGATTAGTAGACGCCATCCCTGTTTGGCCAGTAAAGCGATGTTAAAAACATGTAACTTGCGAAAACCCAGGCCACCTCTCGATTTAGGAGCACACATCCTGTCCCAGCTTAACCAGTGTATACCCCGGCTGCCTGTACCACCACCGCCCCACCAAAAACGGTTAAACATCTTTTCTAGGGCATCACAAGTGCGCATTGGAAGTAAAAAAGTAGACATTGTAAAGATCGGTAGCGATTGTGCGATGCTCTTGAGGAGCACTTCTTTACCTGCTCGGGATAGTAGTTTATTCTGCCAGGTGCCAAGTCTATTTCGAATACTCTCTTCAATGTATCGGAACACCGCTGTCTTGTTACGACCGAGAACCGACGGTAGACCCAGATACCGCCCCAAATCAGCCGCTTCGGGAACTCCTATGATTTCAGACACCAAGGTCCGGACCGGCGGGCTCGTATTGCGGCTATAAACTGCACTAGATTTCTCGAAATTTATCAATTGTCCTGAGGCCAAACTATAATTTTCGACGCATTCCTTTATTTTCCTAGCTTCCCGTTCACACGCCCTGAAAAATAATAGGCTATCGTCAGCGAAAAAGAGGTGTGAGATGGCCGGAGCTCCCCGAGCCACCCTAACACCATGAATGTCCCCCCTAGCCTCGGCCTGCTGTAAAAGGATAGAAAATCCTTCTGCGCATATGATAAACAGGTACGGGGACAACGGGTCACCCTGCCAGATTCCCCGCGTAGGATTAACCTGCCCTGCTACCTCCCCGTTAACCAAAATGGAGTATCTGACAGACGTGACACAAACCATAAGCAACTCCACCCAGCTACTCTCGAAACCCAACGCCCCCAACATCCCCTCCAAGAATGACCATTCCATTCTATCATAAGCCTTAGCCATGTCTAGCTTCAGCGCCGCCCAACCCTTTAACCCCTTGGTCGTCCTCCTGAGAAAATGACCAATCTCCCTGGCCACTATAATATTATCCGTGAGCAGCCGTTCAGGTACGAACGCGCTCTGAGATTGGGAAACTACTTGAGCAAGGCATCCCTTTAGTCTGTTGGCTAGCATCTTAGCTAGCACATTGTAAATAACATTACAGAGCGCTATCGGACGAAGATCCGATACTCTTTCGGGGACCGGTTTCTTGGGAAGTAAAACAATATTGGCATTGTTTAGACCTGGTGGAAACTGCTTCTGTTCCACACAATTAATGACAAAAATCGACAGATCATGACCCAAAAGTGGCCAGAAATGTTGGAAAAAAGCCGGGGACATTCCGTCCGGCCCCGGCGCCTTTTCCGGCTTCATATCAAATAACGCAGCTTTCACATCCGACATCGTGAACGGTTGTGTCAACGAGATGTTCATCTTTGTGGACACTCGTGTCCGAACCCGGTCAAAAATGTTAAAACCACTGCTCTCAGATCCAAAAATATGATTAAAATACCTGATGATTTCTGCTTTCATTGCTAGGCCCTCGGTCCACTCGCCATTCTGATTTCTGACACGGGTAAGAAGATTTTGTTTTCAACGAGCCGTAGCGGTCCTGTGAAAATATTTTGTATTTGCATTCCCGTGTTTGAGCCAAAGATGTTTTGAACGTTGCTTCCAGAATATCTCCTCAGCTTTTTGGACTTTTCTCAATTCCTTTTCTGCTGCCAAGAATCTGTTCACGGCATTCGCAGCTCTGTTTTCTTTCAAGTTCGCCAGTGTTTGCCTAAGAGTCTTGCTCCGTGCGCCAAAAGTGCGATAGTACTCGCCTCCCCAATTTCATAAACGCTGGCCACAAACAGCCACCAACTTCACCAAATCATACTCTCATTAATTATTAAAGCTTATTTTGACGTTTTCATGCCTAAACTTTCTGTTTTTTATATGTTAGCTAACATATAGTGCACTGCTTCGCATTTTCCACCTAAATTTGCTTCCTAATCCTTCTTCTTTTTCTTCTTTTCTTTTCTTTTTTTTAATCTATTGTTACTTGACTGATTTTTTTTTCTATTTAATTATTAGGTAGATTCATTTAAATTATAGGTAGAATTTTCCTTTGCATGTATATTATTCCCAGATAATTCAGACCAATTCTCTATTTGATAAAAGTTATATATTTTGGTAAAAATTTAATTTGTGTGAGGTCATCACGATACTTGTTCGTGAGACGGTTAAGTGAAATGAAAATATATATTATACTTATATTGAAAAATGTAATACTAATCAGAAATAAAGTGTTTATTACTTATAAAAATTAGTGTATGGTAATTAATACTTTTGAAGGAAAAATATAATATTTTAACATTATAATTTAAAAGTTTATATTTTTTTTTAAAAAAATATTATATTTAATTCCCTTAAATAACAAACACTTATCAGATCAGCATTACTTATAAAAATGTAATATTTTTGAAGCAAAAATATAATATTTTTATATTTGATTTAAAAAGTATTACATTTTTTTTTTTTTTGCTTTCAAAAAAAAAAAGTATTACATTTTTAATCAAAAGTATTATATTTTTTTCTTATAAGTAACAATAATTTTATTCCTTATTAGTAATACGAGTTTTTTTACGCGATTTGCATGAATGGAATAATGCCCAATGATTATTTTTAAATAAGTATTTCAAAGTATATCAATGTAATATTATATAGGAGATATTTATGCATAGGTGAATAAATATTGGATTCCAAGGACCTTATAGTCCAGTGGTATCCGGTTGCTCCCCTAAGTGAGAGGTGATAGGTTTGAGCCTCAGTTAAGGCGATCAGTAGTTTGAGTGTCCCCTTTCTCTAGTAATAAATAAATGTTGAATATGTTTATTTAAAGTATATAAATTTAAGATAATATATGAGCCCTTTCTCTTGTAATAAATAAATGTTGAATTTGTTTATTTAAAGTATATATAAATTTAAGATTAGTATTTCGAGTGTCCCCTTTATCTAGTAATAAATAAAAATGTTGAATTTGTTTATTTAAAGTATATAAATTTAAGATAATATATGAGCCCTTTCTCTTGTAATAAATAAATGTTGAATTTGTTTATTTAAAGTATATATAAATTTAAGATAATATATGAGAGATTGATTATAATTGTCAATCAAATAAATGCTTGCAACTTAGTAATAACGCTAGTCTAAATACTTAGTTTTAAAGCGATAGTCTAAATAAATAATATATGAGAGATTGATTATAATTGTCAATGCTTGCAACTTAGTAATAACGCTA